ATGTGGCTAGTGCCTTAGCCGCTTGAGCCACAGGCGCCGAGCCCCTTTGTTTTTAACCTGGATGGAAGCGGAACACATTCTTCTTAGTAAAGCATCTCAAGAATGGAGAAGCACGAATGCTATATATTCAATTTTGATATGAGGACAATTAATGACATAGTACATGGTGGGGGATGGGGGAAGGGGAGAGCAGAGAGAGAGAAAGGGGGGGGTGGGGTCTGGGTGTGTGACACACCTCTTGGGGGCAAGACACAATTGTAAGAGGGACTTTACCTAAGAAATGCAATCAGTGTAACCTGGTTTCTTATACCCTCAATGAATCCCTAACAACAACAACAACAACAACAACAAAAGGAAACCAGTCTCTTATCATCTGATTGTTGATAAACCAAACAAAAGCATACACTGAAGAAAAGAATCCATATTCAATAAATGGTGCTGCAAAAACTGGATAATCACACGTAAAAGATTGAAACTGGACCCACACCTTTTACCCCTTACAAATATTGACTTAAAAATGGATAAAAGAGTTAAATCTAAGATACAAAATGTTAAAAATCCTAAAAGAAAATTTGAGGAAAACTCTTAAGGATGTTTGCCTCGGGAAAGATTTTATGAAGACTTCAGTGGCAATCACAACAATAAAAACAAACAAATGGGCCCACCACGACGTCCACCTGGCTCATTTTTCTGTTTTTAGCAGAACGGGGTTTCACTCTAGCTCAGGCTTGTCTTGGAACTCCTGAAGACAAGTAATTCACCTGCCTTGGGTTACCAGAGTGCTTGGATTACAGGTGTGAGCCACCATGTCTAGCCTACAATCATGTCTTTAGCTCAAGTAAACTTTAGGCATCACTCATTTCCCACATTCCAATATATCAAAGTAGGCCCTACTTCTTTATTCTGTTCCTTTCCACTTCTATCGTCCTTGAACTTTCCCTTCTCACTCAAGGATATGAATTTGGGAGATCAGACAAGATACCTATGCTTTGCCTGGGGTAGAGTGTCTCTTCAGTTTTAGGAACTGGAGGGCCTCTCTGGCCTCTCCCTAATCTCTTCTCACCCATTTTAACTGATCCCTTTCACTCACCTACCAACCATATGTCAAAAAACATAAATACAGTGGTGCCTGCTAACGCATGGAGGGTGAGTTTAAAGACCCAAGTGGGTTCCTGAAACCAGACACTGCAAAGCCCATACATACTATCCATATGTACTAATCTTTCCTTTACATATGTAACTATGATACAATTTATAAATTAGGCATAATAAGAGATTAGCAACAACAATAATAGAAGAGTTATAACAATACACTACAATAAAATTACCATGCAAAACTAACATGAATTTTTCCCTTTTTCACAATTTAACGAACAGAAGATTCACTATTTTAGCAACCTCAACATGTAATTTGTTTTTCTTTTCTTAAATTGAGAACTGCCACCTTTTTCACTTAAAAGCAGCACCTCATGGTTTCCTTTTGGCACATATGAATTGCCAGCATCACTACTCTTTTTTTTGTTTGTTTGTTTTTTGAGACAGAGCCTCAAGCTGTTCCCCTGGGTAGAGTGCCATGGCTTCACTGCTCACAGCAACCTCCAACTCCTGGGCTCAAGCGAGTCTCCCGCTTCAGCCTCCCAAGTAGCTGGGACCACAGGCGCCCACCACAACGCCCAGCTATTTTTTGGTTGCAGCATTATTTTTTTTTTTTTTAGGATACATTAAAATTTGGTTTAATATTTCTTTGCCGCAAAAAAAAAAAAAAAATCACATTTGTAGTGAACGAACAACACACATTTTTAGGCTACTGTTTTATGTTTTTAACTACCATCCCATGAATTCACAGGGAAGAGGCTCCAGTAGCTCAGGGAGGCATCTTGCCCTTGAATGTGACAAAACACTGACTTTTGAATTCATGGGAAATAGGTTCCAGCACCTTGTATCACTGTTACATGGGGTCTAATTGGTTATCCTGTGTGCTATGCTGTACACTCATTATGCCATCAGCTCATGGAGAGTAAATAGGTTCTTGCACCTAAAAGCATGGGTCCACTGGTACTCCTGTGTGCTATGTTATATGCTTTATGCCATGAATTCATAGGGAATGGGTTCCAGGAGCTCAGGCTCCTTTCTGTTGGTTCTCACAAAGTGGGCTTCTCTGGGTGGAGCACGCTGGCACTTCAGCTGAACCCAGGTACCTCTCTCTTTGGCTTCTTTCTTTTTCTGATCATTTTCCTTCACACATTTAGGAAGCTCTCTCGGCTCTTAGAGTGCTTAATATGCTCAATACGAACATTAATCCTCTTGGCAAGAATCTTGCCCTTAACTTGTTTGTTTACAACAATGCCAACAGCATGCTGGGTAACATTGTAGACTCTTCCAGTTTTGCCATGGTAACATTTGTGTGGCATCCCTTTTTGAACAGTACCCATTCCCTTGATGTCTACAATATCACCTTTCTTGTAGATTGGCATGTATGTGGCCAAAGGAACAACTCCATGTTTTCTAAAAGGCCTAGAGAACATGTATCGGGGGCCTCTCCTTTTTCCCTTTGTGTTCATCATTTTGGTGGATTACTGAAAGATGGCATCTCCGGCCCAAAGGCGGTTGCAGCCATTATTGTTGTTTGGCGGGCCTGGGCTGGATTCGAACCCACTACCTTAGGTGTATGTGGCTGGCGCCTTAGCCGCTTGAGCCATAAGCGCCGAGCCAGCATCACTACTCTTAATTAAGTCAAAGACGGGTTCCCTGAATACTAGCACTGTGCTCTGACAGTAAATCTGATGATCTAGATGGCTCCTAAGGAGCCAAATAATTCTCAAATAGTTCTCAAATAAGTGGGAACTTTTATAGTCTACATTTGCTATCTCCATTTCCTGAATGATTCCAGGACTAATTCGGATTCCCTTTATCTATTTCACTAAAAACTACACTAAGTTCAACCAATATAGTTTTCAAATAAAAAGTACACTTGCCAGTCTTATCTCTCTTGAAGATTGCAGTGTTTAAAAATTCTGCCTTTAAATTTTTCTCTCCTTTAAGTTGCATACTTGCCTTCCTCACTCTCCTGGCATCCTTCTCTGTGTTCTTGGGCCCCTGAGCTTTTCAACTGCTGTCAGTACTGGATAAGGTTCCTCCTTCAGCATTCTCCAGCCTAACGCTGCCCAACGTGGGACAGGGGATGATATCCATGCCTGTGGCCTCATCCAAACCCTGTGGTCTTGACTTCCTGAAATCAACTCTAGCCTTGACCACCTCAAGTTCCAGACCTATGTACAGAAGTCTATTTGTATACAGAACAGGTATTTTTAATATGGCCAAATATATAACCTTTAGAAAACTGTTCTTCTTTCTGTATTCCTCACTTGATTATCAGCACCATGTACCCAAATAACCAATGTGAGAATCCAGATTTTCACCCTAGAGTCCTTTCTCACTCAGTGCTTATAAGCCCAATGGTTCTGTAAGTCCTACTGTTCTAAATTCTTCATATTTTAGCTCTTTTTTCCTCCACTACTCACCCATTGCTTTGTCCTTCATATTCTAAGCAATAATTCCTGACATAAGAAAATAAAAATGTATCTTTTTACTCATAAGATTGTCATATATAACAACTGGAAGATGAATTTCTTACCTTTGCCCCCATGTCTATAAGTTGGTTTGTAAATGTCTTTGAATAATTTTCTGTTCCATTGGATGACCACACTTCAACATAGGCCACGACATCTGAAAACAAGATACCAGTATGAAATTTGTATTTCCAGCACCTACTGCTCAATAATTTTTTTCTTGTTCTATTTATTTATACTAAAAACTAAATCTGAAATTTCTTCTATTAAAAGTTTCTTCAAATAGCATCAGTACAAGTTACGATTATTAAAATTTAAAGCAAAGAACCTTACTCATACACGTCCCAGTTTACATTCCTAACACCTGATGTTCTTCCCTAATTCCTACACTAGGCTTAATTTTTCTAGAACAGAAGGAATAGGCTTTGCAGCTGGTACACTATTTGTCACAACTACTCAATTTCATAGAGCACAAAAGTTAATGAGCTGGCCTGCATGCCAATAAAACTTTATAGACAAGGGACTTTGGATTAGATAAAATTTTCATTTGAGAATCTTCTTTTCAACCACTTAAAAATGTAAAAAATAGCTTCTTAGTTTGCGGGCCCCACGGAAAACAGGCAACAAGACAGACTTGGCATAGCTTGTGGATCCCTGTTCTAAACCTGACGTTTTAAAAGAATTTTCCAGGCGTGCTGTTGGTGAATAATTGTGAGCAAAGATACAGGAAAACTAGGTTAATTTAGCAAAATACTAACATTAGAAAAGTAGCCACATCTGATGAGAGGAGTTTGGCTATGAGGCTGTACACTACTCCAAACTCCTCACAACAGACCCCTTTTCTCCAAGGACAAACTGTGAGACCTGCCATCCTCCTCAGTTCTTCCAGGTGACCCGGACTGGGTGAAGTCTCGGACATAGGTTAGGACAGTAGCTTAGGCGCGAAAATCCTGCCTGCGCTGACCAGTCACTTGGCGGGAAGGAGTGTCTATAAACTTAATTTTCCGACACATAAAATGAGGTAGCGGAGTTGCTGGGCAACTCCGGTACACAACTTCTCACTGAAAGGCCGCTCTCGGTACTACGACAAACACACACAACAGAAGGTTCGGGGTTTCTTTTCCTAGTCCCACTACTGCCGCAGGCCCCCAAATTCGCCTGGACTTTCCAAGCCATTGCGAACCTCCAGGAAAGCTGACATCCGACCCATCCTCAGGCCCCGAGTTTTCTCCGAGATTTCCCCGCGTGCCGGACCTCCAGCCTCTCCACGTCCAGAAGGACCTCGGGGGACCCGAGGCCAAGACGCGGGACTAAACCCAGACCCTGACTTCCGGCAGGCTGCCCGCCCCGCGAGCTCCGGGGGACAGTCACGTGCACACTGAACTGGGAGGGGGTCAGCGGGGAGGGGGTGGGAGGCGGGGGTCAGCCGGGTGGGGTGGGGATCAGCGCGGAAGGTCGGCGGTGGGGAGAAGCGGAAGCACGGGGAGCGGAGTTCCCCCGAGTGCTCCCACCACCAGCGGCGTCAGTCCTCAAACCCACCCCCCACCGGCGCAGGGCGGCTCCGCACACCCAGGGAGCAGGCCGTCCCCTCACCTTTCAGTACCGAACACCCTGGAGTTCCAGGGGCCGCCATAACGAGCTGCCGGCAGAGACGCGGCGGGCGCGCGCGCAGCCGGGCCAGCCTCCCCGACGGCATGCGCTGAGCATGCGCGGCGCCGCCCTCCGGGCTCGGCGCAGACGCGCCAGTTCGCGTTTTCCAGACAGCCGAGGGGGCGGGCCTGGGAGCCCCACCCGCGCGGGCCGGGAGGAGCGGAGCGACAGCGGGAGGAGGGTTAAGTCTGAGGTAACGCGTCTGTGTTCGTCACGTGACTTAGAAACGTCCCGGCTGCTCACCTGGGCCCACTAGGGGCAGAGGTCAGGGGAGCGGCCCTCAGAGAGGTTGTCTTGGAATGTCGGCTCTTTGAGGTCACCCGCGCACAGGTGGTCAGCGCGGCGCTAGCGCCCTGGGCGGACCGGGCTCTCCCTGGTCAGCGCGCGGGGGCGCAGGGCCAGGCCAGCACCCTGGTGACCCGGACCTCGAACCCACCAGAGGGACCCCAGACCGCTTCCCGCCAGCCCGGCGGTTCCCGGAGCTCTGCGGCCCGCAGCCGCCGCGCCCGGTGGAGCTGCCGGGCGGCCCCGCGCTCCCGCCGCCCGCCCACTCTTAAGACCTCCGGCCCGGGGCTGGGTTTCCAACGACCTGGAAGCTTCGGGCCGGGCGGGCGTTGCTCGGGGCAGGAAAGGTCCTGCTCATCTGCTGACAACGGTTCTCTGTGCAATCTGCCTGCAACACAGGCCGAGTAAAGAGCCTTATTTATTCATTTATTTATTTACTGAGACAGATTCTCAAGCCGTGGCGTCACAGCTCACAGCAACCTCAAACTCTTGGGCATAAACGATTCTCTTGCCTCAGCCTCCCCAGTAGCTGGAACTACAGTCACCCACCACAACGCTCGGCTATTTTTGTTGTTGCATTGTTATTGTTTTAGCTGGAGAGGGCCGGGATCGAACCTGCCAGCTTTGGTGTCTGTGGCCGGTACCTTAACCACTGAGCTAGGGGCGCCGCCCAGGACCCTATTTATTAAAAAGTGAACCAAGTGTATAAAAATTTCCTCTACCAGCGACTTTGTACTTCGTGTTCCAGCATGGAGAACGTATTTCATTCTCCAGCTTAATGAACAATACCATACTACAAGTTAAACGGACTCCCTCATAACCTATGGTGGTGCCAACTCTGTTTCGGAATCAGAGGGAGTTCTGGTTTTGAAGTTTGGATCAGCTGCTAACAAGCTATGAGACATTGATGCGTTCCTAAATTTCCAAGCTTCTTTCTGTTTCTGAAGTCCAGTCATGCCAGTTCTTAGGGGACTTTGTCTTTTTGTTTTTTAACGCTTTAACACTATATTAAGATATAATTCACATATCACACAATTTAGCCCTTTAAAATGTACAATCCAAAATAAAATATACAATCCAGTGTTTCTTACTATGTTCACAGACCTGTGCAACCATAACCATAATGTTTTAGAACATTTTCATCATTCGATAAATAAACTCCATAAGTATTATTAGTCGTTCCCTATTTCTCTCTCTCCACCCCTCTCCTGTACTCCAGGAAATTATTGTCTAGTTCCTGTTTCTATATGTTTGCCTATTCTGGGAGATATATACAATCATTGGGTAAGCTTTGATCTATATCTCCCCATCCCCCCCTTCTCCCTAACCATCCAGGCCTCTGATAACCACTATTCTACTCTTGACTTGTGTGAGATCAGCTAGTTTAGATTCCACATATGAGTGACATCATGAAGTATTTGTCTCTCTGTGCCTGGCGTTTCTTTAATGCTCTCTAGGTTCATTCATATTACCGCAAATGATAGGATTTCATTATTTTCTGTGACTAAGTAGTATTCCATTGTGTATATATGCTGCATTTTCTTATCCATTATCCATGAATCCACTCAGGTTGATTGCACGTCTTGGCTATTGTGAATAATGCTGCTATAAATATGGGAGTGAAGCTGTCTTTTGGACTTACTGATTTCAGGTCCTTTGCATATATATCCACTAGTGAGATTGCTGGATCACATGGTAGTTTTAGTTTTAATATTTTGAGGAGCTTCCATAATGTTTTCCATGGTGGCTGTGCTAATTTACATACCCACAATATGTAAGTGTTTCCCTTTCTCCACGGCCTCACTAACACTTACCTTTTGTTTTATTGCTAGTAGATATTCTAACAGGTGTGAGGTGGTATTTCATTGTGGTTTTGATACACATCTTCATAATAATTAGTGGTATTGAGATTTTTTCATATATCTGTTGGTTATTTGTGTGTCTTTTTAAAAGAAGGGTCAAACCCATTTTTTAATAGGATGATTTGGGGTTTTTTGTTATAAGTTGAGTTCCTTATATATTTTGAATAGTAACCCCTTATCAAAAGTATAGTTTTCAAATATTTTTACCTATTCTGTAGTTTGCCTCTTTGCTGTACTGATTTTTCTTTTGTTGTTCAATAGCGTTTTAATGTGATGTAACCCTATTTTTCCAATTCCTTCTTGCTTTCTTTGTTTGAGGCTTTTTAGGTCATATCCAAAAACAATCCTTGCTCATACCCATGCCCTGAAGTGTTTCCTCCTATGTTTTCTTCTGGTAGTTTCATAGTTTTGTCTTTATGTTTAAGCCTTTAATTCATTTTTATTTATTTATGTGTGTGGCAAAATATAAAGGTTTAATTTCTTTCTTCTGATTATAAATGAGCCAGTTTGCCCAACATTATTTATTGAAAAGACCGTCCTTTCCCCAATACCTGTTCTGGGGAATTTTTTTTTCTTTTTGAGACAGAGTCTCACTTTATCCCCATCAGTAGAGTGCTGTGGTGTCACAGCTCACAGCAACCTCAAACTCCTGGGCTTATGTGATTATCTTGCCTCAGCCTCCCGAGTAGCTGGAACTACAAGCACCCTCCACAATGCCCAGCTACTTTTTGTTGCAGTTTGGCTGGGGCTGGGTTCAAACCTGCCACCCTGGGTATAGGGGGCTGGCACCCTACCCACTGAGCCACAGGTGCCATTCTGTTCTTGGGAATTTTGTTGAATATCAGTTGGCTATAAATGCATGGATTTATTTCTGAACTCTATTCTGTTCCATTGATCTATTTGTCTGTTTTTATGTCAGTACCATGCTATTTTGATCACTATAGATTTGTAATACATTTTGAAGTCAGATAGTATGATACCTCCAGTTTTTTTCTTTTCAGTCAAGATTGTTTTCATTGGGGCCTTTTGTGGTTCCATATGAAACTTAGGGTTGTTTCTCTATTTCTGTGAAGGATATCATTGATATTTTGATAAGCATTGCACTGACTCTGTACATTGCTTTCGGTAATATAGGCATTTTAACAATATTATTTTTCCCAATTCATGAACACATCTTTCCATTTATTTGTTTCTTCAATTTATTTCATCAGTGTTTTATACTTTAATTGCAGAAATCTTTCACCTCCTTGGTTAAATTTATTTCTAGAATTATTTTTGTAGCTATTGTAAATGGAACTATTTCCTCTCTTTTTTTCTAGATAGATCACTATTAGCATATAGAAACACTTCTGATTTTTTTACATTGATCTGGTATATGTATCCTGCCATTCTACTAAATTCATTTATTCTAATAGGTTTTTGATGGAGGCTTCACAGTCTTCTGTATATAATAGCATGTCATCTGCAAAGAGGGTCAGTTTAACTTCCTTCTTTCTAATTTGGATATCTTTTTTTTTTCCTCTGTCTACTTGTCCCGGCTAAAATTTCAGTCCAATGTTGAATAGAAGTGGTGAGAATAGGTATCCTTATCTTGTTCCAGTACTTACAGGAAAAGCTTTCAGCAGAGAGTTATTTTTTCCCATTCAGTATGATGTTAGCTGTGGGATTGTCATATATGGTCTTTATTACATTGAGGTACATTCCTCCTATACCTTATTTGTTCAGAGTTTTATCATTAATGGATGTTGAATTTTGTCTGCCTTAACTGAAATGGTCACATTTTCTTAAGATTATATAGTTATTGATTTTCATATATTGAATAATTCTTGCATCCCTAGGATGAATCTCACTTGATCATGAGGAGTGATCTTTTTAAAGTGCTGTTGAATTTGGTTTGCTGGTATTTTGTTGAGGATTTTTCCATGTATGTTTCTCATAAATATTGGCCTGTAGTTTTCTTTTTTGGTTGTGTTCTCATTAAGTTTTGGTATCAGGATAAGGCTGGCCTCATAGAATGAGTTTGAAAGAATTTCCTTCCTCTTCAGCTTTTGGGAATAGTTTGAGAAGAACTGGTAACTAGTTCTTTAAATGTTCAGTAGAATACAACAGTGAAGCCATCAGGTCCTGAGGTTTTCTTTAATGGGAGATATTTTATTACTAATTCAATCTCCTTATTCATTATTGGTCTGTTCAGATTTTCTATTTCTTCATAATTCATTCTTGCTAGATCATAAGTGTCCAGAAATTTATGCATTTCTTCTAGATTTCTTAATTTGTTGGCATATAATTTTTCACAATAAGTTGTCATGTCTCCTTTTCATCATTGATTTTATTTATTTGGATCTCCTCTCCTTTTTTCTTAGTCTACCTAAGGTTTGTCAATTTCATTTATCTTTTAAAAGAACAGGCTTTTGTTTTGTTGATCTTTTGTATTTTTTAGTCTCTTTTTTATTTTTGCTCTGATTTTTCAGGAAAGTATCAGAATAAAATAATAACTCTCTATAAATGACAAAAGGCTTAAAATGGCCATGGTAAAGATCTGATGAGAGTTCATTGTAACACAATCATCAAGGAAATTCAGCTGTTACTGTGGCAAACATTTAAAATAATAACTGGAATTATGACTGATAATATCATACCAGGATATATTATGGATAATGAAGACATTGACAAATTTCTAAGAACTTCATACAGTTTCTGAAACATTAACATTTTACCCATGTAAATATTACCTAAGGAAGGTTAAGTATCTATTCTTATTTGACAGTACTTTTCATGCAATTTAACATACCAAATAAACCTAATTAGTTTGAAAGAACAAATATTTTGAGATT